TTTATTCTAATGGGTATGTAGTCATATCACATTGTTGTTTTAACTTGCAATTTCCTAATGACTTATGATGTTAAGCATCTTATAGATGGCATGCTTGCCATCTATATATCTTCTTTGATGAGATACCTGTTCAGTTCTTTGTTGTATTTTTAAATTGGGTTGTTTGTTTTCTTTTTTTTTTTTTGGAGACAGAGTCTCGCTCTTTCACCCAGGCTGGAGTGCAGTGGCATGATCTTGGTTCACTGAAAACTCTACCTCCCAGGTTCAAGCAATTTTCCTCCCTCAGCCTCCCAAGTAACTGGGATTACAGGTGCCCGGCCAGGTTTTTTTTGTAATTTTGTCAAAGATGGGGTTTCGCCGTGTTCATCAGGCTAGTCTCGAACTCCTGACTTGAGATAATCTGCCTGCCTTGGCCTCCCAGCATGCTGGTGTTACAGACGTGAGCCACTGTACCCAGCCAGGGTTGTTTGTTTTCTTAATGTTGAATATTAAGAGCTTTTTGAGGCCAGGCCCAAGTGGTAGATCACACTTGGGCAACATAGTGAGACCCTGTCTGTATTTTTTTTTTTTTTAAATGAGAATTCTTTGTATATTCTGGATACCAGTTCTTTATCAGGTATGTTTTTTGCATAGTTTTTCTCCCAGTCTGTGGCATGTCTTTACTCTTAACACAGTATCTTTGGCAGATTTTAATGATTTCCAAGATACCAATTTCTTTTTTCGTGGATCTTGCTTTTGGTGTTATATCTAAAAAGTTATCTCCAAACCCAGAGTCTTCTGTGTTTTCTCCTGTGTTATCTTCTAGAAGTATAATTTTTAATTTCACATTTAGATCTGTAATGCGTTTTGAGTTAACTCTTTGTGAAGGGTGTAAGGCCTGTATCTAGATTGATTACTCCCTCCCTCCCTCTGTTTCTTCCTTCTTTCCTTTCATTTTTTGCATGTGGCGGTCCAGTGGTTTCATCATTTGTGAAAAGACTGTCCTTTCTGCATTGAATTGCTTTTGTTTCTTTGTCAAATATTCTTTGACTATATTTGTTTGGGTATATTTGTAGGCTCTGTTCCATTTGATTGGTCTATTTGTCTGTTCTTTTACCCATACCACCCTGTCTTGATTACTGTAGTTTATGGTAATTCTAGACATTGGCTACTGTCAGTCTTCCAACTTTGTTCTTCTCCTTCAATATTGTATTGTGTGTTCTGCGTCTTTTGCCTTTATATAAACTTCAGAATCAGTTTTGATATTAACAAAATAATTTGATGGATAATTGGATAATTTGATTCCACTTGTTCATTGCTGTTACACAGGAAGACATCTAACTTTTTGTACATATTAATTCTATATTCTGCAATCTTGCTATAATTACTTTTTCCAGGAGGGTGTTTTTTTGTTTTGTTTGTCAATTCTTTTGGATTTTCTATATAGAGACAAAAATATTATCTGCAGACAAAGATCGTTTTATTTCTTCTTTCCCAACATGTGTAGCTTTGTTTTTCTTTTTCTTGTCTTATTTCATTAGCTAGGACTTCAAGTATAACTATGTTGAATAGGAGTGAAAGGTGACATCCTTGTCTTGTTTTCAGACATAAGGGATAAGCATCTAGTTTCTTACTATTAAGTATGATGTTAGCTGTAGATTATTTGGTAGATGTTCTTTACCAGTTAAGGAAGTTCCCCTCTTTTCCTCATTAACTGAAAGTTTTTATCATGAATCATCATTGGGTTTTGTCACATGCTTTTACTATATCTATCAATATGTATGATCATAATCATTTTTTCTTAGCCTGTTGATGTGATGAATTACATTAATTGCTCTTTGAATGTTGAACCAACCTTGCCTACCTGGGATAAATTCCATGTTGCCATGTTATATAATTATTCTTATACATTGTTGGATTTGATTTGCTAATATTTTGTAGTGTCTTTGTCTGGTTTTTGTGTCAGGGTGATACTGGCTTCACAGAATGAGTTAGAAAGTGTTCATCAGCTTCTGATTTCTGAAAGAGATTCTGAAGAACTGGTATTGTTTCTTTCTTAAACATTTAGTAGAATTCACTGTGAAACCAAGTAGAACTTTTTTTTTTTTTGGTCCTGTTTTGGAAGGTTAGTAATTGTTGATTTAATTTCTCTCTCTCTCTTTTTTTTTTTTTTTTTTTTTTTGAGACAGAGTCTTGCTCTGTTGCCCAGACTGAGTACAGTGGCACAATCGTGGCTCACTCTAGCCTTGAACTCTTGAGCTCAAGTGATCCTTTCACCTCAGCCTCCTGAGTAGCTGGGACTACAGATGCATGCCACCACATCCAGCCAATTTTGTTATTTTTTTATTTTTTATGGACGGAGTTTCGCTATGTTGCCTAGGCTGGTCTCCAACTTCTGAGCTCAAGCAGTCCTCCCACCTGGGCTTCCTAAAGTGTGAGATTACAGCCATGTGCCACCATATCCGACCTAATTTCTTTATTACCTCTTTCTCCTACTGTGAGTTTTGGTAAATTGTCTTTCAAAGAATTGGTTTATATCATCTAAGTTACCAAACTTCTGGGCATAGAGTTGTTTATAGTGTTTTTTTATTCTTCTGTTGTTTGTGAAATCAATTGTGATAACCCCTCTTTCTTCATATTAGTAATTTTTGCCTTTTCTCTTTTTTCCTTGAATAGTCTGGCTAGAATTTTTTTAAATTTTATTATTATTATTATTTTGAGACAGATTTTCACTCTTGTTGCCCAGGCTGGAGTGCAATGATGTGACCTCAACTAACTGCAACTTCCACATCCCAGGATCAAGCAATTCTCCTGCCTCAGCCTCTCAAGTAGCTGGGATTACAGGTGCCTGCCACCATGCCCAGCTCATTTTGTATTTTTAGTAGAGATGGGGTTTCATCATGTTGACCAGGCTGGTCTCAAACTCCTGACCTCAGGTGCTCCGCCTGCCTCAGTGTCCCAAAGTGCTGGGATTACAGACCCAGCCCTGACTAGAGTTTTATCAATTTTATTTACCTTTTCAAAGAACCAGTTGTTGGTTTCATTGATTTTTCTGTAGTGGATTTATTCTATTTAGATTTAGCTGGCTTCTTGAATGTGTAGATTTCTTTCTTCTGCCTAATTTGGTAAGTTTTTAAATTCTTTTAGACAGAGTCTTGCTCTGTCGCCCAGGCTGGAGTATAGTGGCATTATCTTGGCTCACTGCAACCTCCACCTCCCGGGTTCAAGTGATTTTCCCACCTCAGCCTCCTGAATAGCTGGGATTAAAGGCGCCCACTACCGTGCTTGGCTAATTTTTTTATTTTTAGTAGACACGGGATTTCACCATGTTGGCCAGGCTGGTCTCAAACTCCGGACCCCGAGTGATCTGCCCACCGCAGCCTCCCAAAATGCTGGGATTACAGGTGTGAGCCACTGTGCCTGCCCTTAATTTGGCAAGTTTTTTAGCCATTATTTCTTTTCTTTTCCTTTTTTTTTTTTTTCTGGTGACAGGATCTTGCTCTGATACTCAGGCTGAAGTACAATAGTACGATCATAGCTTACCACAGCCTTAAACTCCTAGGCTTGAATGACCCTCCTGCCTCAGCCACTGAGTCGTTGGGATTACAGGCATGAGCCACCTTGCCTGACTCCATTATTTTTTCAAGTACTTTTTCAGTCATTCTTTGTTTCTCTTTTCTTTCTAGTACTCTGATGACACAGAAGTTAGCTCCTTTGGTATAGTTACACAGGTCCCTGATGTTTTGTTCCTTTTTTTTTAAAGGCTATTTTCTCTCTGTTGCTAAAATTGGTAGTTTCAGTATTCTGTTCACAGACTTTTCTCTGTTTCCTCTATTCTGCAATTGAGCCTATTCACTGAGTTTTTGTTATTTTTTGTTCTAAAATTTCCATTTGGTTCTTTATATCTTCTGTTTCTTTGCTGAGACTTCCTAGGTTTTTCTTTTCTACTTTTTCATTTGTTTCAAGCATGTTTTTAATTGCTAGTGAAGCATTTTTATGTTGACTGCTTTTAGGTCTTTATCAGATAATTGTAACACGTCTATCATGTCAGTATTGGCATCTGTTGCTTGTGCTTTTTCATTTTCTTTGACATTTTCCTGGTTCTCAGTGTGGTAAGCGGTTTTTGATTGAAACTTGGACATTTTGGGCATTATGTTTTAAGTCTCTGGTGGGTGGTAAAAGTCCAGTAGCCCCATGTGGTGTCAGTAGTTACCACATGGGACTCGTTTGGTTACTGCCTATCTGGGATGAAAACCTCAGGCCTCTGCTTGGCCTTCTTTGAAACAGGCAGGGGGTTAGAGCACCTTGGTTTGTTTTGGCAAACGTGGAAATCTACTTTTTGTTTCTATGGGCTTGCCTATTCTGGACATTTCATATAAATGGAGCCATATAGTGTGTGGGCTTTTAAAACTGAATTCTTTAACTTAGCATAATGTTTTTAGGGTTCATCCATGTTGTAGCATTTGTCAGTACTTAATTTCTTTTTATTACAAAATAATATTTGATTGTATGGATTGGCCACATTTTATTTATCCTTTCATCAGTTGGTGGACATTTGGGTTTTTTATGTTGTTTGGCTATTATGAGTAATGCTGCTATGAACATTTGTGTTCAGGCTTTTGTGTGGATATGTGTTCAGTTCTCTTGGTATATATCTAGAAGTGGAATTGCTGGATCTTATGGTACCTCTATATTTAACTTTCTGAGAACTTACTTGTTACTAAGTTTTAAAAATCTTATTGTACTGTATTGTGGTATCAGGGAGGGTACCTGAGATATTTTGTGTAGTGTCTGTTAGGTCCCCAGACTTAAGATTTACTTTTATTCTTATTCTTTGCATATTTCTATATGATTTTAATTAAAAGGATGGTGCTGAAAATTAAGTTACTCAAGAATTCCATAAGTTTGATGAGTATTAAAATGCTTTAAACCATTATTTATTTTTAAACATTGTGAGTATATAATTATTCATAGTCATGACATTTATATTCATAAATATACCTGTGATTTTATTTATTTAGAAAAAAAAAAGTGAATGCCTGCAGTTAAAAATTTTGGTGCTTCAAAATGAACTGGAACGGCAGAAGAAAGCTTTGGGACGGGAGGTGGCATTACTGCATAAGCAACAAATTGCGTTACAGGACAAAGGTGAGTGGAAATACCATACAAACAGCTTAACCTCCACATTCAGTAGTTCTCCTTTCTTCTTCACAAGCTCAAATAGTCAATTTTTGTGTAAATACAGTCACACATCACTTAATGACAGGGATGTTCTAGAAATGCATCCTTTGGTGATTTCCTCCTGAGCTGCCATCATAGAGTATGCTTACACAAGCCCAGATGGTGTAACCTACTACACACCTAGGCTATATGGTATAGCCTATGGCTCTTAGGCTATAAACTTGTACAGCATGTTACCATACTGAATACTGTAGGCAACTATAACACAATGGTCAGTGTTTATATATCTAATATATCTAAGCATAGAATAAAAATACTATACTATAATTTTATGGGACCACCATCATGTATGTGGTTTGTTGTTGATTAAAACATCATTATACAGTGCATGATTGTATGGTGATAGAATTTTCTCCAATTTTAAAAATATTTTTGCAAGTATTTTGAAGTTAGTCCATATAGACAAGTGTACAAATCTGTATTCAAATGGTCCTGGACTTACAATGGTTTGATTTAATGATGACTTAACTTACGATTTTCAGTTTTATAATGTGCAAAAGTTACATGTGTTTGGTAGAAACCATACTATGAATTTTGAATTTTGGTCTTTTTCCAGGCTAGCAATATGTGGTATGATATTTTCTTGCTATGCTAGGCAGTGGCAGTGAGCTGCAGCTCCCAGTCAGCCACACGATTATGTGGGTGAACAACTGGTACTCTATACTGTACTCTCTTGCCACTGTTTTTTGGATATTGTGTTTTATGTTTTCACATCCCATCTAGTCTACAAAATGCTCGTCTGTGTATGGTATTCAATGCTGTGTTATAAAATAAGCTTTGTGTTAGATGATTTTGCCCAACTGTAAGCTAATGTAAGTGTTCTGACACCTTAAAGTAGGCTAGGCTAAGGTTTCCTGATCCGTAGGTTAGGTGTATTAAATACATTTTCAACTTACGATATTTTCAGCTTACAATGGGTTTATCAGGATGTAACTTCATGGTAAGTTACGGAGAAGTTGTGTACACAGAGCTTGAATTTTCACAAAGCAAAGACACCCATGTGAGCAGAATCTCAATCAAGAAACAGGACCCCAAAACCTGGGAAGCCTCCTCAGGCTTCCTTCCATTTACCACATCTCCAGCCAGACTAGCCACTGCCAAGACTCAAACCAGATTGGCTTTGCCTGATTTTGAACTTTATAGAAGTAGAATCATATATGTACATGTGGTGGCTCTTTTCAACATTATGTTTGTAGAGTCATTCTTACCTTCATGTTGTTGCCGTTTATTCATGCTTAATGCCAAATAGTATTCCATTATATGAGTGTGAATTTATTTATCTACTCTTGCCGTTGGTTTCAGTAATTTTCATTTTGGTACCATTATAGTTAATGCTTCCATGAACCTTCTAGGTTTCTGAGTGAAGAACTTTCATATGTTTCTTAATAAAGATTTTTAGATACTTCAGTTGAGTAGAGACTGAGGGGTAGAATTACAGTCAGAGAATGTACGCATCTTCAGCTTTAGTAGATTGTGTCCAACGGTTTTCCAATATGATTGTGCCAATTTATCTCCCCTCCATCCAGTATTGCTCCTTCCTACATCCTTGTCAGGAATTTCTTTTTTTTTTTTTTTTTTTTGGTATATTTTGTATTTATCACATTTGGTAATTTGTATTTTTCATTTTAGCCTTTCTGTTGGATATGTTGTAATATCCTCTTGCAGTTTTAATTTTTATTTTCCTGAAGACTAATGAAGTTAGTCTTTCATATGTTTTAAGTTTTATAAACGTTTCATATGCTTCTTGCTGACTGAGATACACTCTTTTGTGATATACCTGTTGAAATATTTTGCCAATTGAAATTTGGTTTGACTGTTTTTTTTGGTAAGATTTCTTTATATATTATGGATATGGCTTCTTTATTTGGCATGTGCTTAAAAATGTATTCTCCCATTTTGTGGCTCGCTCTTTAAAGATATTTCACTCTTTAATGATACCTTTAAATGAACAGAAGTTCCGTTTTATCAGTCTTCGATATATGAGGCTTTTTGTGTCTATTTGGAGAAATATTTACCTATTTTAAGATTTTATAGATGTTTTTCTATGTGTTCTTTAAAATGCTTTACTATTTTACTTCTTACATTTTTATCTGGAATTCATCTGGAATTACTTTTTGTATGTGATGTAAGGTAGGAGTCGAGATTTTATTTTTTTCGTCTTGATAGTCAGTTGACCCAGCACCATTCACTGAAGATCATCCTTTCTCCATTGCATTGCAGTTTTGCTTTTCTCATAAATCAGATGACCATATGCTTGTAAGTCTGTTAAGAACCCTCTGTTCTGTTCTGTTGATCTATTTTCTGTTCCTTTGCCATTATCTCGCTGTTTTAATTTTTTTCATGTTATAATAGGTGTTGATATCTGTTAAAGTTCTTCAGCTTAGTTGTTTTCTTCAAGATTACCTCGGTTATTTTTGCTCTATGTCATTTTCATGTGAATTTCTACATAGAAAAGAAAACCTTGCTGGGATATTTTTTCTTAATTGTCATACATCATTGCTGGGACTTGCTAGGATTTTAATGGAACTGCATTGAATATATTTGTCAAATGTAACTGGGGATAATAGACATCTTTACAATATTGAGGCTTCCATCCCAAGAAAATGATATATGCCTTTGTTTATTAGATCTTCTTTGCAAAATATTATTGAAATAAGATAGTGTATGGGTCTTTCCCATGATTTATTGAATTTATTTCTATTTTTTGATGTTTTATGATACTATTGTACATATCATTAAATTTTATTTTTACTAGTTTCTGGTGTATAGATGTACAATTAATTATTTTTTTAAAAGTGACATCGGTATTTATTATGTTTAAAGAAAAATTCACCAGAAGCCTTATAGACACATTAGTAATTGTTAATGTTACGGTTGCAGCCCTACAGATGCAGTCTTGCTGTGATTATTTATTTACATTCTAATTTAGTTGCATTATAATTACATTTCATTACACTAAAATTAGTAATGATTTTAACTATTTAGTTGTTATAAATATAAAAAATTGCAGAAAATTTAAAAATCAGATTTATTGAAATTTAATTCCCATACCATATAATTTGCCACTTAAAGTGTATAATTCAGTTTTTCTTAGTTTATTCACAGAGTTGTGCAGTGATCATCACAATCTGATTGTCCCGCCTTCCACACTGCCCCTCCACGAATTCTAAGTAACCACCAGTCTACCTTCTCTCTCTAGATTTGCCTTTTCTGGACATTCTTTTGTAAACAGAATCATGCAATGTTGTGGTCTTTTATGACCAACTTCATTTGTTTAGCATAATATTTGTAAGGTTCATCCACGTTGTATCATGCATCAGTACTTCATTTTTACTGCTGAATAATACATTCAGTTATATGGATATGTGACGTTTTAAAAATCCATTCATTGGTTGTTGGACATTTGGGTTGTTTCTGCTTTTTGTCTATCACAGATAAAGCTGCTTATGAACATTCAGATGCAACTTTTTATAGGGATGTTTGTTTTCATTCCTGTTATGTATACCTGGAAGTGGAATTGCTGGGTCATATGGGAACTCTATTTTTAACTTTTTGAGTGACTGCCAACCATTTTCCACAGCAGCTGTTTTACATTCCTACCAACAATATATGAGGGTTCCAATCTCCCCATTTTCTCACCAATATCTGTTATTATCTTTCCTTTTAATTATAGCCATCCTACTGAGTATAGTGTTGTATCTCATCGTAGTTTTGATTCACATTTACCTAATGACATACATGCTTCTTACGCCAGATTTTTGTATGTTAATTTTATATCCAAGGAACTTATTAATTAGTTCTAATAATGGTTAGATTGTTTTAAATTTTCTGTGTGTGCAGTCATCTCATCTGCAAATGACGGCATTTTTATTTCTCATTTCCTAATACGTATGCCTTTAAAACTTTTTTCTTACCTGTTGTGTTGTCTGGGACATCCAGTACAATATTAAATAGAAGTGGTGTCAGTGGATATCCTTTTCTCCTTTCCAGTCTCAGTGAAAGCTTTATAATATTTCACCATTACATAGAGGGTTTACTGTAAGCATCCTTTACCCATTTTGTGGTTTACCCTTGTGCATCATTTACCCATTTTGTTATTTTTGCTTTAACTGTTTTTTTTTGTTTGTTTGAGATGGAGTTTCGCTCCTGTCTCCCAGACTGGTGTAAAATGGCGTGGTCTTGGCTCACTGCAACCTCCGCCTCCGGGGTTCAAGCAATTCTCCTGCCTCAGCATCCCAAGTAGCTGGGATTACAGGCACCCGCCACCATGCCTGGCTAATTTTTGTATTTTTAGTAGAGATGGGGTTTCGCCATGTTGGCCAGGCTGGTCTCACACTCCTGACCTCAGATGATCCGCCTGCCTCGGACTTCTGAAGTGCTGGAATTACAGGTGTGAGCCAGCAGCCTGGCCACATTAACTGTTCTTTTAATGAATTGATAAAGAGCTCAATATGTGAATTTTCATTTCTTTGCTGTGTTCAGAGTTTCTGCTGCCTAACTGTGCTGCAAAGGGAGATTATAGAATTTTTGTAGATGTCTCTTCTAGTGTTTTAATTCTGACAGCCAAATCAGTTGCACAGTCTTGAATCTCTGTTTTACCCTGCAGAGAAAGAATGGTCATCTTCAAGTTAAATATGTATTTGCCATGGTGGGTCACAATCGTTGATTTTTAACACCGACTTTGTACTTCAAGTGCCCTTTTCTCACTTTTCTATATGTTTTTGAGATGAGAATTACTTTGTATTCCCCTGGTATTAGAATCCTCAGAAGGTTAGGATCTAATGTTGACACTCTGGTTCCTAACATAAATAGGAGAAAGAGTGCTGCTGTTGGCTTCACTCTTACTCCCACTGCGAATGTTTGTGGGCTGTGGGGGTTCGGCAGTGGGGAGAGGGGAAGAGGGGATG